CCCTCTCACTGCACCCCCGTCACAGGGGCCCTGGACCCTCTCACACTGCACCCCCTCACAGGAGCCTGTCCTATAGCAAACGTCACACATCCAGAAAGACAGTTCTTTAAGGATGGCTATTATTAAAACCAAATTTTTAAAAAATTGTGGACATTCTGAATGTCCATTAGGAACCAGTGAACACGAATGACAAGTTGCCGGGCTGTTCCTCAGAAGAATGGGGCAGGGCCTCAGGAAGGCTCGTCCAGGTAGCATGTCCACTGACCGCCCCAAGATGCAGCTGAGCTCACGGTGCGCTGCTCTCTGTACCTGAGACGGGACAGTGAGTACGGAAAGCCTGTGTGTGTGTGATGCAGTGCGAAGACCGGTCTCTGAACAAGGAGCCCGTGACGGTGGGTAGGGTCGGGGTCCCGACCCCCGGAGAAGGGAGCTTCTTTTCACAGTCTGCTGCTTTAGCTGTCTGGAGTTTTTAACTGCATGCGTGGATTGCCTTGTAAGCAGTACCGAAAACCCCAAAGACTTAAAAAGGGGGGCAGCGTTCTCCAAGCCTTCGTCTCGGGCTTCTCTCTGGATCTTCTGACTCAGAACTGAGACTTTAGAGCCTAATTCTGGGTCTTTCTCTTGCCTCCCAGGGGACTCCGATTCTCCTGGTAAAGCTGAGGTCAAAGCATGCGTGTCCCAGGGTCAGAGCTGCTAGAGGCAGAGTCTTAAAAGTGGCTGGGTTCTTTGTGTGACAGCACCAGCGTGGTGGGGAGAGGGTCTGGGACAGGGTGAGCAAGGTCACTGATATGCTGGCCACACATAAAGCCAGTGGGCAAATAATGATTTACTTAGCATTTCGTGAGCTCTCACATTGGCCATGTAAGCTGCTCTCCCGTTTGTGTCACCAAAGCCTACCTCAGTTCCTATTGGCCGCTGCAGGCCCTGGCCTGCTTGCACACACCTTCAGCCTGTGGCTGTGCCGTGGTTTCAGATGCTGGTCCCTGCACATGCCCTAAGGACTACCCTGCTCTCTGCTGGAAGGTCGAGTCGTCTAGGGGACTACCCCCAGCCCCGGCCTACAGCAGTCATACATTCTCAGTTCCACTCTCCCTGGGACTCGGGAGAGCAGGGAATGACTCAACGATTCTGTGTCCCTCTACCATGCTCGGCACCCACTAGGGATCAGGTCGAGACTGTAAACAGGGTGGGGCCTTTAGACAGGTGTGCTGGCTAGGGTTTGTTTTGTGTGTGTGTGTGTGTGTGTGTGTGTGTGTGTGTGTGTGTGTGTGTTTTCTGAACAGGGTTTCTCTGTGTAACCATGGTTTCCTGGAACTCGCTCTGTAGACCAGGCTGTCCTTGAACTCAGAGCTCCACTGGCCTCTGCCTCGGGTAATCTGCGCTGGGATCACAGGCGTGCGCCACCACGGTCTGGCTTAGCCCTGGGTTCTCTAAGAGAGCAGGCTGAGTAGGCCTCGGAGAGCAAGCCGGGAAGGGGCGCCCTCCCTGCCTCCGCACCAGCTCCTGCCTCCAGTTCCCCCACTTCCTTCAACGCCGAGGCGGAAGTACAGGCCACCTAAACGCTTTGCTCTCCAAGCTGCCCTGGTCACGGTGTCTCATCTCAGCGACAGCAACCCCCCGTGAGGCAGACAGTCCACCTGCAGGAGCTGCAGTGGGCGGCTCCCGCCGCCCGGCCTGGCTTTGGCACCCAGCACGCCGCCAGCCGTGTGCCCACCAGAGTGCGGTGAGGGTCGGCGGTGACCAGCCTGCCGAGGTCAGGGCGAGGCCACATGTGGCCGCCCTCAGCCTGCCCCGCCCTGCTCAGGATCATTTAGGCTTCAGAAAAGCCAGGTACTGCTTTCCCTGGAAGCGGCTCAGTCACTTCGTGGCTGTCGGCCCCGTGTGGGCACCAACTCAAGTCTCGGTATTCCCCTTGGGACCAGGCACAGCACGGCCATCCGCAAACGCTCACCGAGAACCTCAAAAGGTGCCCGCAGACTCAGAGGAAAGCGCCGTGGACGGGCACACCGCTCACCCCTCACAATGAGCGCCGCACACTCGTGCCTCTGAAAAGGTTTATTTCTTCCCTATGCTCAGAGACAGGGAAATGGCCTTGCTCCAGCCTCCTCCCTCCCCGGAGTCTCATCTTCAAGGGATGGGAGGCGGAGGTGGTGACCTGGGGCGGGTTGCTATGAGGCCAACTGCGGGGCTCTTCTACTTCTGCTACACTGACTCCTCGTTCTCACCGTCCCCTTCCGCACCCTTAGGTGTGCACGCAGCTCGGCACCGTAGGGAGCAGGGCGGGGGCCGCAGCGCGAGTCGGACAATAGCCCCCGAGTTCAGCGAGCGGGGCCCAGTGTGCGCCTCGGGCGGATGGGGAGGGAGAGGCTGTGGGCCCCGACGGCAGCGGGGCTCGCGATGCCCCTACCTCTCCCAGCCCCTCTTCTAGCAAAACTGCTCGTCACAGTCCTCATCCTTCATCCCCTTCAGCCGAAGCCGGGCAAAGTCCTCAAACACGATGTCGTCGTCTGTGGCGTAGCTTGGAACAAGAGGAGGAGGTGAGCGCTTCCGACCTCTGCCGGGACCACCGGCTTTCCTCCCACCCATCCTAGAGCCAGGCCAGGGCAGTGGGGGCAGCCTCTGCAGGCGGGGCCTTCCATCTGGTTCTCCACCCCTCTTCCCGGGCAGAAGGGAACAGCCCAGAGGGCCGAGCGGGCCTGAATCAGCGGGAACCCATCCCAGAGGGCCAGCAGGAAGGCAAGGGGCGCTTCTTACTTGGTATCGAATTCGATGAGGTTGGTCTCCACGGGGACATCTGTTTCCCGGGGCGCTGAAGGGCAGAGCGGGGGTGGGCGGACAGGCACTAGAAGAGCCACTGCCACGGGCCTGCCTCAGCCCTCTGAGGGGCTTGGGGTGTGGGGGTGCTCACCTGACTGGGGCCTGGGAAGGGTGATGTGGTCGTGGGGCTTGGGGTGCATGAGGACAAAAGGCAGCTCCACGGAGACATCCCTGGGTGGGGGGACTGCATGAAGAGGCCAGCCGCCACGGCCCCACGGAGCCACCCCTACCAGGCTTCCCGGCCCTACTCACCCGCCTCTGGACACCACCAGCTTCACCTTGACCCTGTAGGACACCAGGATGCCCAGCACCTCCTTGGTGGCCCCCTCCTTCACGCTGCAATCGGGAGGAGGGGAGCTGGGGTCAGGGTCCCCGCAGCCCGAGCTGCACCGCATGGCAAGACAGGCTCTCGGCGCTCCTCTGCGCACAACCCCCCCCGAGGCCCCTCTCCGCCAGCCACGGGGTGCCGAATCCCTCATCTACTCCCGTCTCCCCGCTCACAGCGCGGCCTCTGCAGTGGTGTAGTGCGGACCAGCGCACACCATAGATCCCCACCCACCCGAGGACCACCTCGCCTGCCTGGGGCCACCCTCCAATCCTTCCTCCTGTCTGCGCCCTTCCCCGTTCACCTCCCCGGCCGATCCTCTGAACACCAGCGCACCCCCCATACTCTAGGCCCCTGCTCTGCTGCCTTCCCTGCTGTTCCTAACACACTATCCGGCTCGTCACTTATCTGATCCTCTGCCTTCTCCTCCCTCAGAATGTGAGAAGTTCCTGTCATTTCTGTTCACTGATACCTCCTGGCACCCGGGCCAGAGCCTGGCACCCGGCCTGTGCCCCGTCCCACCGTGCCCGGGCCTGCCCTCACATGGTGCTGGAAGCCAGGTTGGTGTCTTCATGCTTGAGCTGGCCATCCAGGGCCAGGCCTCTCTTCTCCCGGTTGTCACTGAGCAGCGGGGTGACAGTGTACACCTTGCAGAACGTGGAGCTGGGCGACACCTGGTCACTGGGGTGGGGACAGGGTTCTTGGAGACAATGGGCTCGGGGAGGCTCGCCTGACGCCCTCGGCCGGCATCCCCTCCCTCTCTGTCCACATGGGCGCAGATTACGAGGGCTGAGTTCCGGTTCAACCTGTTCAAGGCTGTCAGCGGCGTGGAGGGCCCAGCCGCAGAGGGACGCCCTCACACACAGAGACCTCCCACGCGCGGGTCCACGCCTGTCCCTACTCACTCTTGTTCAAGCTGAGCCACAGGGCACTTGTACTGTGCGGTGCTGAAGAGGCAGATGTCGGCGTACTGTCTCACTGTGGGCGGGGCACCAAGCAGCTTATGGGCAAAGTGCAGACTGCAGGGACCCACAAGCCCAGACTGCATGGTGCGGACCCGGCTGCGGGCAGCACTTCCCCCACTCCCCCATGCTGGGGCCGCCTTCCCCCAGCCCACGTCCAGCCCCGCCTCCTACCGGAGACTCTGATCTTCTTGACGGTCTTGGCGGAATTGTTGGTGACATGGACGTTGACGCTGAGGGGCTCCCCGTGGTAGTACAGCTTTGGAGTGGAGGGTGCAGAGCTTGTGCTGGCTTCTGGCCGGCCCCGCCTCGGCCCCGCCTCGGCGTGTCGCTCTGCTCCCTCCCCCAGCCCAGCCCGTAGCACCTCCACCCCAAGTGGGGCAACGGCCTTTAAAGAAAAGCTCTCCCACACCGCCATCTTGCTTGTGGCTTCACACCTGCCCCAGTGTCGCCCTCTCACCACCCACCTCTTTGTCGAGGGACGCCTCTAGGTGCAGGGACCTCCGGTCGGACATGAGGAAGTGGCGCGTGGTCTCAGCGGAGGGCTGGGGGCCGGGCGTCTCCGGAGCGAACTGGACCTTTCTGATGATGAGGCGCACAGAGTTCCTGAGTCGGGGTCGGGGAGAGGAAGGCTGAGCTGGAGACGGATGAACCAACGCAGCGTCCCACCTCCCTGCAGGGCCTGGGCTTCCCTGAGGCCAGGAGCGAGCGGTTAAACCGGAGAGAGTTGTTTCTCTTACCTTTTGTGGCTTTTTTCTTCTAGTGATTTGGCACAGAAGGCGCGAATCTCAAAGTCTACTCCACAGGCCTGGGGAGGGGAGGGGAGGGGAGGGGAAGGGAAGGTCCCATTACCCTCCAGCGTACCCCTGTCCTTCCCGCTTCCTTCATTCCCCTGCCGTGCGGACTCTGCCTCACTGTGGGAACCCAGGGACTCTCTGGCCCCGCTGTCTCTCTCTCTGGCCTGGTACCTGGCAGAGGCTGGCTCGCGGCAGTACGTGGAGGAGCCCCCATACCCAGGTACACAGGTCATAGACACCGGAAAGGAGTGTTCCAGATTCAGTGCCCCCACTTCGCACACCCACGTCCGTGGGGGCCTCCCCGGCCTCAGGAGCCCCTACATTTGAGCCTCCAGCTCAGCTGACCCTCTCATACCTTCCCTGTGTCCTCCGGTCCCGGCTGCAGCGTGACAGAGCAGGGCAGATTCTGGGGTATCTGTGGCGGAGAAAAGAGGGGTTTCGGTTCCCTGGTGACAGGCACCCCATCCCATCAGTCCCAAGCAGCCCCGACCCCCCGACCCCACGCCCCACAAGAACACGAAGCACCTCACCGTAAAAAAGAAGGGGTGGGCGTGCCGGCCCAGCTTCCTGAGCAGCCGCTCCTGCAGGCGGGTGGGGGGCCGGGGCGGGTTGGGCATGGGGGGAAAGGCCTGGTAGGTGGCGGCGAACAGATCTTTGCGGAAAGACAGGCCCAGCACGTCCAGGTCCTCCCGGCCATAGCGGAAGGCGCAGGTGAGGGTCACAAACACTGAAAAGGGAGGGCCAGGCAGGGTGATGAGGGCAACCCCCTCCTCCCCGGCACCCACATCCTCCCCAGCACCGCACACTCCCCTGGACCCTGCTGCTGCTCTCTGGGACACCCTCCCAGAGCCAGCCGTCTGGTTCCGTCCTCCTGCCCCCCTCAGGGCCCAGTACCTTTGCGGTCCTTCAGGTAGTCAGGGTCCACGAGCACCACGCCATCTAGGGGAGGCAGACACAGGTCATTTCCAGAGGGGCCTTTCCCCTCCCGCACCCAGGAACCACTCTCCTCTTGGGCCGTTCCCCTTCCAGGCAAACTTACCCACGGGGTCCACTCTGTCCAGGTGATCCACGAAGTCGCGCTTGCCCAGGTACACAGTGAGCTGAAGACGTCAGGGGTCACGGGGAAAATTGGGGAGGACGGTGGCGAGCCACCAGAGCCCTCGCAGATGGCTGCCCTGGCCTGGGCTCCCTGTGCCTGGGTCATCTGGGAGGGGTTTCTCCCCAGTGTCACTGGGTGGTGACGGTGGCAGGGTTTCCCTCTAACCTGCTCTCCTGGTCACTTTTCACGCCTCTGCCCACCAACCAAGGGTGGGTGTGTGCACATGTGTGTGTGTGAAGTGCTCCCATGTCCTCAGGGAGCACTCAGCCGGACTAGGCAGCTAGCAGCTGTCCCCACACGGGGCTCTGGGGTAAACAGGCCACTGCCCGGGAAGCTATTAACTTTTCCTAGCCCCGAGCACCCTGGGTTGGTTCCTAAGAGAGTTACAAGCTCGCTTAGAAACCTAGCCAGGTCCCCACCCAGCCCTGTGGCTTCTTGAGACTGTGGCAAGGGGCTTGAGGAGGGCAGGAAGTGTGCTTTGAGCTGTCACAGGAAGTGGGGAGCTAAGGGCTGGGGATCATCTAGGGGTAGGCTGGGCTTTGATAGGGCCCAGGGGATCAAAGGATGAGCACGGAGGAGCACTCACCTTGCAGTTAGGGCTTGACTTCTTGAAGACCCTAGCAAAACAGAAAGGGGGACGCCACCGCCTCCCTCAGGCAGGGCAGGGGCCACCAGCCGCCCCAGGGCTTCCTCCCCAGCGTGGGGGCGGCGTGCACCCTGGGTCCCTGTTCTACCCTTCCCACTGCTTCTCCACCAAGTCCCAGTGTTTCCCGCACGGCAGCGCCTTGAAGCCACTGTCAGGGCAAGCTCTCGCTCCTTCGGTGATCCATCCACCTAGCTTGCTCCAGTCCTCACAGTAACAGCCACTGGCTGGCTGCCCCGGGAACCATCAGGCTCTCCCTGGGACCCTCCCCAAATGGAGATGTGAGCTGGGGGCTACACAATGCATGGACCAGACCTAATAAGACCCCTCCCTCTTAATTCCTAACCATGGCCGGCCTGGAACTTGTTAGGTAGTCCAGGCTGGTCCCGACTCAGCTCCATGAGCCTCTGCCTCCTCCACGCTGGGATGAAAGGCGTGGGTCACCGCACTCAGCTGACCTAACCAGGTTTCAACTGACTTCTAGTTTCGGGGAACCAAAGCCTTGACTTTGCCCCTCACATTTTTCTGACCAAACCTGACTATTCTACGAACCTTTTACATCTCCACCTCTGACCTCAGCAGCTTAAAAAAAAAAAAGTCCGTTGCCTTCACTGCTTGTAGCCCTCTGACTGTTCGCCGGAGGTCACAGGGCATGTAAATGGTGGGGCTCGGATATAAACTTAGGAGGAGCTCTGGCTTCCATCTCCGCTCTCCGCCAGTCCGTCCTTACACCAGCCAGGCACCGACACTCTGTCCCCAAAGGGATCTTCTGCACAGCACCTAACTGATCTAGGCCGCGACGGCACCATTACTGGTGGCATAGGGGACTGCCTAGTGAGCCCGGGCCAATTGTTGGCTTGCTCTGCGGAGCACCATCCTACCCCTTCTGGTGCACTTTGCCTCAGCAGCAGTTCCTGGAGAGGGTCCCCAGGTCACAAACTGAAACCTGCCCCGTGCTCCGCCCTGCCCTCAACTCCCTATGTTAGCTTCTGCCAGGAGAACCACCTGTCTCCTCCTTCCCGAAGGCCAGCTGGACGGACACCGCAGGGCCAACATACAGGGTCACGAGGAAAACCTAGGGTACCCCTGTGGACATGGTGGCAGTCAGAATAACCACTCTAATTTCTGTCCCAGTTAGGGTTGACAGCGAGGCACCTAGGCGCCCTCTCTGCTCTACTTCTGGTTCCCCTCTGTCCTGTGTTTTCCCCACCAGAAGCCCTGGCAGAAGGCTGTGACAGCCACAGTGTGTCTGGGTCGGGCTTCTGTCCTCCCCATCTTCCCCACACACCGCTTGTCCGTTGAGGGAGGGGCAGCATGCACACAGCACGTGCTGAGGTTGGCCAAGGAAGCAGAGGGAGGGAATTACCAGGGAGGCACCAGCTTGGGGGGCAGCTAAAGCAGATGCCCTCTGTGCTTCCTGCCATGCTCTCCATTTCCCGTGGCCCAGAATTTGATGAGACTGTAGGGGATTGTGCCAAGTCAGCAGTCATTCTTCGGCCCTCCCATTCCCTCTCCTGAACCACACAACGGAAATTTGGGGGCCTCCCCGAGGCAAGTGACTTCCCTTTTCTCCGGGTGCTTAACTCCAGATCCAGGAGTCCTGCCTTCCCTCTCTGACACTGGTCCTCTCAATGCTTACAGGCCTAGGCTCTCCCACCCTAAGGAGGGGCAGCGGTGGGGCTTTGCAGAAGTCACTGCTCAGGGTCAGGCCCTCATCCTGGTCCGCTCTGGTTGAGGCACACAGCCCCAAACTATCCTTTCGCTCTGGCTCCCTCGGAACAAGCGTTCACCCCCTGTCCTCTTAGGGTGCTGGGTCACAGCAGGAAGTGGATTTTGCTATAGACTAAAAAAGAGAACTCTGGTATCAGTGGAAGGAAGGAGCCCCGATTGCACAGAAAACATCCGGGGAGAGGCTGCGTGTCCAGGGCAGACACTACCTCTTCAGCCTCCCGAGGACAGGAGGACGGCCCAATTTCAGCAAGGGTCCCTACGCCCTCCACTCTCTCAAGAAGAAGCTGTTGCTCTTAGCAACCGAGGAGAAGGCAGAAGTTTGGTAGCGGAGCTATCCGGCCCTTGGGACAAGTGGGAGCAACCAGACTGTGGGGTATTGGGCAGGAGCCTTCCATTGGCTGGGCAGAGTCTAGGGGAATCCCTTCCCGGCATCCAGCCTCCCAGCACACAGCCCTTGGGGCCGGCCACCTGCTCCTCCTTCCTCCGCCCCTGCATCTCAGCCTGCACAGAGAACCCAGTCGTCCGACTCCTCCATCCCTGCGAGAACCCAGGCGTGGGCTCCCCGGTCCCCATCAGCTCTGGCTTTCTGCAGGCTTTCCCCTTCTCCAACACCCTCGAGGACCTAGGCTTGCGGCCCCCCCGACCGCTACACTCTAGGGACCCAGGCGTCCGGCCCCGGGGTTTCTTCCCCGGTGTCCTTGTCTGGGGATCACCCTGGCACCGTCCGCGAGCCGCCGCCCATGCCCGCAGTACGGCTCCACCTCCCTTACCTGGTCCCGGGTTTTTCTCCCATGGTGCGCGCGCGCTCGCCGCCCTCCGCCCGCCGGGTTCGCGGCTCGCTCGCAGCCTCCTCGCCCGCTGCCAGGTCCCCCGATCCTCCCCGCGCCACTGCGCACGCGCGCCCTCTCTCCTTTTCCTCCTCCCCGCCTCCCCTCGGGTCCGGGTCTCGGGGAGCCGGGGCCAGTGCGTCAGCCGGATCCCGCGCGCGGCGCCGCAGCCCGCCCTCGCCGGCTGGCCCCGCCCGCGCCCCGCCCCCCGCGTCCCCGGCGAGGCTCCCGC